AAATTCTTCAGCGTGACATAACTGGAACCATCATCTGATTGAAGAAAAATTGAATGTTTCAGTGCTTAAATAATAAATGAATATATTTATTACGTATTTTTCTATCAATTATAAGTTTCCACACAAGAAATCTTAAATGGAACAAGATTATTATTAAAGTTTAAATTTATTTCTTCAAAAAAAAAGGAAGGAATTAACTTCCGTTCTATCTTTTCAAGAGCAAGAAGATTCATAACCATCAAAAATACTTATACGAATGTTAAAAAATAAATCATTTCAAGGAAAAAAAAGGTCATATATATTTTTTTTATAGTCTTTGTTCAGATCTATTGATCTTCACCGAACTTTTAATTTAATTTTCTGACATTTATACTCACTGCGGGTTAGTTTCTTCTGAAGAACTACAAACCATTTGACCTTATCTAATTCGATTTTAACTCACCTTTTACAAAACTTTAATAATGTATTTCTTAAAATATCCTAAAATCACTATATTTTATACCTTTTAGAATAACTGAAATATTAATAATTCAGTTTATCTTTTAATTAAACTTGTGGTAATCATCATTGAAGTATCAAAAGCGATTAAACACATATAAGAGGATAAAAATTGATGTATAATCTATTAAAATATTTAATAATAGGAAATTTTCTTGAAAAAATTCTCTAAATTATTGTATTTTTAATAATTTACAACAATAAAATTCACTTTTTACACCAATTAAACACGAGAAATATACAACTGAAATATTCAAAATCTTATGCATCAGTCGTTGAGGGATAAAAATTCAAATATAATTTTAAAGAAATTTATATGTATGTGTGTATATATATATATGCGAATTTTCTAAAGAAAAAAAAACTGTACTTCGTAAAGTTTTCCATAAAAATATTTGTGGTACTTTTCCCTTTCAACCAAAGCCTGTGAGAATTTGATGTCAGATTGATTGACTGAAGAGTCGTCGTCGTGTTAGATTTTCGCCATCTTTAAAGAAAAGAGAAATCACAAAAAAAATATATATAAAAAAATAATAAAAAAATTCTTCAAGATATCTTCATCGATTCTCGCCTTAGGTGTTGAAGAGTAGACATTTGCCGCCAGCTATAAGGAAAGTCAAATATTTGACAATGTTGACACAACGTCGAACATTACTGTCCCAATAGGTGTGGGCTGATTTTACTTAGTTGTTGTACTACACATGTATTTTCTTGATTAAGCTTTGACTGTATTAATTTTGTAACTAATTAACTGTTAAAAATAATTATCGAGTTAAACTGTGATTTTATTGCTGCGGTTGTTTTCCTCCATTATATATATATA